TGTTTTATAAATCATATTTCACTACTCGCAAATCTGTTTTTTTACGGTATGACGTCACCGGTACCTAATATGTTCACCCTTACGATGAAACGTACCTGCGAATTCTCACCTTCATATTCGAATTATTTTTGGACAACTGTCTTCCAGTTTGAGTGCTTCGTACACCCTGGGAGACTAGATTCCCACATTATTTGTAGTTCCAGTATAACTTTCTCACACAGTAAGTTCAAAGTGGACACTAGTCTTTCTAAATAAGCCTGTTAAGCTAATATCCGTATTCTCTGTTTCAGTTAATCGATGAAGACATGTACCACGTGCATCTGCTGTATACTGCCATTTTACTCCAATTCTAACTGTTATATCTTATTTCTGAAACATAAAATTGCTATATGCAACAAATACAGACATATTTGTTTTGATGGAGACAGGAGGGTTCATGGGATTTTTAACACGTCTGTAGTAATATTCTCACTAAAGAGCTAAGTGAGTGCGTAGATCAGTGTAATGTACCATACAAATTGCCTTTGAGTTACTCGTGTTCCATTAGTGTCGGTAGAGGCATTACTTGCTTATCATATGACATTTGAATAAGAAGCTATGAGATTAGACGCAGGGACGGTTAGGATGTGTAACGCGTGTCCATCTATCAGCTGCTGTGGCAAATCATGGTGGCTAGAATAAGTTGTGAAAGGACCTGAGTCTGTAGGTTTCCCAAGAAAATGACGAAGATATTCACCAAATCACCTTATGAAAAGCGCCTCCAATCATTTAACCTCTACCGATTAGAGTATAGACTCCTTAGAGGTGACCTTAAAATGACTTACAATATCCTTAACACTTCTGGACATTCCCTTAAACACCTACTTAAGCTTAGTCCCAACACTAAACTAAGGGGTAACGCCCAAAAACTAGAGACACAACATAGTCTATACATAGTCTATAGTGAAACTCAAAAAAATAGTAATCTACCGAACGTATAGCTCAGGATAGATTCTTTAGAACTGAAATGGTACTTTCGTTACGTAAGAACACAGCAAAAGTTTGATAAATACGAATCACGTTAGTGCTAAACTTCCTGTTCGAAAAGCGCGCGTTCAAACCTTGAGTTCATGAATATTAGATAAGGTCAGCTACTACTACTTAAGAAAAGCATAACATGGGCTAAGTACTGTATTGCAATGCTTTTATTATTTTGCTCCCATATAAGTATTCCCATGCATCTGCGTCTAGCTTAACATGAAGACACAAAAGCAGAGTTAGTGTCTGATAAACTAAAAGTCCCAGTTGTCAAAAAGATTTTTAATATTTGTCCACAGCCAGTTGCATATAATTGAGACACAGAACACTTATCTTCTAAGACTGTATACTGCTCTATTGCGGGAAACTGAAAGCTCAGATGCTTAGATATCTTGCTACCGATGTTATTGCTGGAGAAATTGTTTAATGACAGTGATCATGAAATACGGTCAGTGATAGATTTATAGTCTAGAAATAAACAACAAACATACTGATCGCTATCTTATAATGTATTACAGCAACAGCATCAAAGGCACGTTTTTTCCTATTTTTAATCAGACTGATCTGAATCAGTATACTAATTAGAAACAGGCGACTCTACCTACTAAACTGATCTGTTTCGTTACAGGCTTCAAGCGCTATACTTAAGTATACCATAATTCTTTCAACTAAACTGAATTATACGACAATCAAGAATACTAAACTAAGCAAGTGTCATAATTATTTTTACATTTCCACAGACATGTTCCTTAAAGTAGTTAAATGGATATAATTAAGACGATAAAATCAAAACACGAAATATAGGCCAGTTGAACTTACCTAACAGAAGACAAAGGAAATATATATTGCTTTGATACTGAAGACAACAGGCAGTTGTTCATAAAAACATAGTTTACAGTACAACAAACCTTTTTATCAGTAACATTACGCACTGACGGTCAATCTGGAATCAATCAACTATGTGATTAAACTCACTACGACTTGGGATAACAACCCAGCGTGCAATGAACGTACAGTGTAACGCAGTCAGACGTGGCGAATAAAAATTAAAAACAGAGCAAAATTAACAACATACTCTAGTTATTTAATTAAAAATACATTATGAAATGACAACATCTGTGGTCGCTTGAACACACAGATGACCCTGTGCGATACATTAAGTTTACATGGTTGCGTTGCGGATAAATTCACCTCACAGAAGTGAATAAACACGAGACTATATTCATAGCAAACGAAAGTAAATTTATCATAGGCATAATGAATTGGATTATTATCTGCAACTGGTTTGTAAATAACTTCTAACTTATGTGGTTGTATTTTTTATAAATTGTAGCAGACGAGCTTTAGGATTCTATGTGCTTCATAATAACGTACAAGGAAAGACAGTACTTCACAGTAATTATGAACTGATAAATGCATAAATGGTTTCACTTTGATTACATTTGTTAGGATTAATTTAGTATCTCTATTTTATTGGCATATGTTACACTAAACCTCCTTCAGCTGGTATTAATGTTTTACATATTATGTGAAGACTGAATTTTGGTACAGTGCCTGAGATAAACTGAAGGAAAAATCCACCCATTCAACTACTTGTGATTGGAAGTTACTGAGAAGAAAGTTGTTTTGTCTAGTTTAAACATAACTAATCCAAATAGATTATATATGATATGAGGTCAAAGAACCACTCAAGTTAATTGAGAATTTGGACAGAGTTACCCATCAAACTGATGAAGTGTCTTGTGCGGTGCATTGTGTTTGCATAACAACTTGTCCCGTGTGTGCGATATAACTTCAAGGGCTAATTAGCAACCGAACGATGCTGAACGAATGGATACACGGGAAGGGCTTAATACATAACACCGAAAAATATCAAGTCGCGATAGCTTGGGCAACAAAAACGAATTTTATTGACGAAAACGTTAGCGGTTACTATCTTCCTGAAACCTCAACGAAGCACTACAGTGGGCTGTTGTTATCAATAACTCTGGACACCAGAGATATTTACCTTAGAGATGCTCATCTCGTCTCTATTTTATATTATACATTCCGATCTTGTTATTTTTAATATTTTTACGAATTGTCTTCTCGTCATATTATAACAATTTTATCGAAGAATGTTTTGTTCCAAAGGTGGTTTCTTAGTCATCAAAAACTAGCACAAGTCACTCGATTTTTTTCTGCTGAAAAGATCGTGTATGGTGTAGTATCGGTTATTGTGTTAAGCCCACATACTTTATTTAAGCTTTCGGACAGTCCATTCTATTTATTATACATGAGTCACATTCTGACCTTATTGTTTATCCGCTTATCAACCTTGGCTGTTTTTATATGAGCGCGTAGGTGTGTGTACATTTCTTATCCCATTACTCATCACATGTCTGTAACATACCTTTGTGTACCTATAAATATTGATTAACGCTTGGTTAAATGGGAGTTGACTTACTCGTCATCTCCACTGCGCATCGTTTTGCTTTTTTTATTCCATTTGTTCTATATGCAAAATATACGTATTCACAAGTCCATTCTCGTTATTTGACTTATTTAATTCCGTTATTGACAAACGCGATTTAAGTCGATGATTATATACGAGGATAGGCGATAACAAACATTCATACGATCTAATTGAAGTCAGATCCATGGGCCATTAAAATGGAAGTGTAATAAATGCGCTTGCATATGTCTGAAACAGCACATATATACGTATTTCATGATCTCGAAACTGTAGTGAGCTATCGCATGCTGAAAATATCTTCGCTATACGTGTTTCGTATTTGTTGAAGCAATCTTGTCTTAGGCAAATAGTCGTGGAGATTAGCAGACTTCCTCACTTGGTTGTCCAACATACCTTTGCGTACTTTCATAGTCCTGGAGGAGGCTCTACAAGCATATGGCAAATCAGATCACTTCTATCTCACCTTCAGAATACTGAGGACTAAACCTTCTGTTTTGTCCGTACTTTTCTTTGAATTCATGAGCCGATCTACGTTAGGCCATTATTGAAAACCTCGAAACAATGTCAGAAGTTTAATTTTGATTTTTCTTAAAAATAAATCCCAATGAATTATATTCCCATTTTAGATCCCTACAGACACAGATGCCACACGTTGGACTATACATTTACAAGGATATTTTCAAGGGAACAAGTAAATTCTCTTACCCTTCTGTCAAGATTGTTTCTCAATTTGATGAAGACGTCATGGTCATAGCCATTCGATGAAATCGACAGTCAGATATCGATCTTCCGATTTAAGTTATATCAACCAATGAGTACTAGAAAACAATTTCATCCATTCACTCGTCGTTGTTTCTCACTAGTTTTTCTTTGAGCTGTCAGATTCAAAGATATTTATTTTTGCCCAATTTTTTGTGGATCATAAGGGTCTTTGGTCACATAGTGAACCTCTGACAGATAATATGCAGCCTTGCTCTGCGTGATTACACTTTACCTGTTCAAAAGCGGGTGGGGGAGATATTCCACACTTAAACGTTTCTATCCAGAATGATGGAGGATATTTGAAAGCAAAAATATGTCTAAAATACGGCTTGATTTCTGGATATACGTTTAACGTTCCACGTTCTTTCTCACGTCTACACAATAATTTTTTTGCTGTTATCGCTATCACGAATTTCATTCTATTAGTCTGTTACCATTTTAAACCCATCTATTATTTCCTTTCTGCTCCCTTTACTTTTCAAACTATTTTGCTCGAATTCCGTTGCTGCAAATTAAATGAATGATGGGCGACGTCGTATTAACAAGGTTCAATGCAGTAATTGTTTCGATTCAACTTACTTGAAATTATATCAACCTAAAATTATTCTGATCTAACTGATAACGGCTGCTGTGGTTGAGCAAAAATAATATCAGAAGATGCTCACATTTTTCTGAAAGCTTTTCTGATGTCAAAAAGAGTATTTAGGTTGATGATTGGTTCATTATCATAATATTTTGTTTTAATACTCAAAAGCATTAGTATTTCGAAGGTTAGAAATAAGCACATTTTCAGATTTTTTGTTCGATATGACATATGTAGCATTTAATGGGTAATTGTGCAGGAAAGCACGTCTCTTCTCCTCCTGCAGAACAAAGTAGCGATGTTAATGCGTCGCATAATCCGTGTGAGCCCTCCAAATATGTCGTGAGAACAAGTTCTCAACCTATGGACTTGTGTGATATTTACAAATCTAATTCCTTAAAAGTAATCCACGAAGATGGACTAATAAATGAACTAGGAATAACAAACGAGCATGAAAACGCTTCATCCTGCGTTACTCGCGAGAGATTTTCTACTGGCAGAGACTTGTCTTTTGGGAGCAAGTCCAATCTATCAACTCCGAAAACTTCTCTTGTCAATGTTTTCGCAGGAAGCCATTGCACTGAAGGTCTTCAGGAAACATTACTTTCTGGTAGCTTTCACCTTCCGAGGTTGGCTTTAGAGCAGATGACAAGAGATATGAGGGTTCATCATTCTGGCGTACGAAACAGTGCGAATTTCGATTACTTAGATAATAAGCATTCTGTGAGTCCAGTTCACTGGTGCGTTTCCTCAAGTAAGCCGTCAGACGAAATTACTATGCAGAAGTTAAATTCTCCACAACGGAGTAATATTCATGTACAGTCACATTCGCATTTACAACAACATTCCTCGTTGAATATTATGCCTTTCTTGGTTGGCAACAGGTATTCCCGAAGTGGCTGTGCAAGTGTCACTCGAAGTGCGATGGAATCCCCACTCACAATTGATTCAGGGACTCACAAATCGGACAAGCCATACAGATCATCTGTTGTTGTTGACTCCAATCGTCTGAAAAATCTTGAGCAAAATGGCGGAACAGTTAGCACTGCTGCAACAATTTTTATGGAAAATGGTAGTTCGGATCATCATTCTTCCGTCGGTGGTCTTTCAACTCGTTACCTTGTTCATCAGCCTTATTTTCCTCCAAGTGCCGGCTCATCCAGTCGTCTTAGTTTGGGTTCGGTTGGTCCATGTGTTAATTCGAAAAAGTTTTACTCTCTTACACAAGAAAACTCCCACAACAGTGAATACTATCACATTGCCATTTTCGACTATGAAGCTCATACATCAGAGGAAGTTAGTGCACGAAAAGGTGATCAACTTCGAGTTTTGGATTTAAGGTACACGATTATTACCATGTTTTATGTGTTATATGTTTAGATTTAAACCTTTTGTTTATTTTCTTAATAAGACTGTGCTGAATTTCGTTTAAATCACCAATCGGTAACTCAAATGTTGTTGAATAACTTTCATGGAAAATATCAATCAATTGGTGCAATTGTTGCTTCGATACAAATAAAAGTAGCAATTGGGATCGATACGCAAATATCAAGCATCATGTCCTGATTTCTCATGTTATATTGTATAGTAGCTTCAAACTATAGTGAAATCCAGTCATGGCTAAATGACATTTAATTTTTTTCCGAAAATGCTATGGGTTATTCGTCAAGGGTTAATTATTTTTGTTAAAACAGTTTACACAGGACGATAAATATACCTTGGCTTTTTAAGTATGCTCGTTTGACCTATCATTTCAAAATTTTGAACCAGAAGGTATGGTTGGGGTGTCGAATTTGACCTTAATAGTACTGACTTAAATAACTGAATCCTCATAAATTTGGACATGTTTCAATTTGTGAGCTGGTTTTCTTATTCATGTAGCCTTTCTTATCAATTTTTATTTATGGTCGTACTATTTTGACACTTAAGTATGTTTATCTCTGAATGTATTTTAAAGTATTTCTTTCAGATTGATGATAGTCAGAATTTAATTCATTCATTGTTTTTTTTATGTCAAACTGGTAATCATACCTGATAAATGATAAAATTATTTTCTACCTCTACATTCGCTTTATGCTAACGTTTCTGATTGTCAGACTGTGATCACATATGTTCTATAAATTATACATTTGGATGATTTAAGTCGTATCTATTTGATAATTTACAAATGAAAACCCACTTTTGTGTGAAAAACAGTATGCTTAAACTATTCAAAATATGTGTGAAACAATGGTCAATTTTCAATTACTTTCAGACAAATAAGTCTTATGTAATACATTTTGACCAAGTTCTCGATTGGATCAAAGTGAAAGCTTTGAATACTGTAATCTTTTGATAACTTCAGGATTCTGCATGCATTACATCGGAATAAATCCAAAATCACACCTTAGTATTCGAATTGTGGTCTTTTTTCAAAGTGATCTGTTTTGTTTCCCCAAGAACGCGTTTATGATTTTAAAAAGCCTCTGTAACTTAAGTGTTTTTTTACTAAATTTCGCCCTTTTAAAGTAATACTATTGGACAAGATTACTGAAAATATTTAACGGTGGCATACAAAATATGATTCAGATTCATTTGAACTGTTTGCATATTTATCACAATTAATTTTTTATGTTTTGTTATTACTTGCCAGCTTCTTGGTCGAAAACATTTGTCTAACTATGAGTAATATTTTAGTCTAATCTAAATATCTTTATTTGGATATACATGTTTCCCTTAATTTTGACTTATCATAAGCTTATAACTATCTAACATATTGGAAATCCTTGTTATATATATATATATATATATATATATATATATATATATATATATATATATGTATACAGCATACCTTGAATAGCGTTATTGAGTGTTAAACTGATTAATATCAAAATATATCATCAAAAACTCTAAACACCACTTTAGTGTGAACTAATTCATGAGTAGATTTTCACATTTGTGTTGGTGACAGATCTGCAAGCAATATCATTTAAGATCAAATAAGAGATTAGCTTTTCTTGCATATGTAAATGTTCATTATAATGGTAACAGTCTTATTCATTACTAACGAAAAACTGGTTTACAGTTTCGGTTTATGTGATTGCTATCTTGTAGGCTGATTTATTTGTTAAGTTTGAGTAACTAAAAGCCCTTTACTAACAAGAATCCCTGTGTTCTGGGTGACCAATGACAGTAAAAAATAATGTTTTCATCGTTTGGTCGATATTTTGTTGTTTAGATTATCTTCTAACATAACGAGATCGATGATGACAGAAAGCTAAAATGGCCGTATGCGCATAAAAGAAATGGCGCTGGTTCTAGAAATGTACCGTGGTTGACGTCCCTATATACTGTTTCATAGTCAGACACCTTGTAGTGCTTTTTGTTTATGTTCAAGTTGGAAGTCGTTTACTCATAGAAGTAAATTTCTTCTGATTTCGGTATTGTTAACCTTATATGCCAGTCTTTTATGTGGGAATTCGTCAAAAGGCGAGGTAACAAGCTGCGTATGTTGGGTGCTTAGAATTTTTTGGATTAAACCAGCTTCACTGCGATACTAAAAAACTAGTAAGATATTATTAACTTCGAATATCTTGCCACAAAAGACTTGCGCTCTATCGGTAGCCTAGGATAAATTTCGTTTGAGTCCACTGATTTTTCTATATCAAGTTTACTTTGTAGTTCAAGAATGTCTATTTCTTCAATGGTAGTTTTACTCAATGGCAGCTTAAACTATTTGACCGATGCTTTGAGGAGAGTAAACGGCGTGTGTATCTCGTTAAAACATTCAGAAAATACTTTGGATTCGATAACGTCTTTCACTAGTGATGATGTAGGATTTTCGTCATACCACTCTTGGATATCATTCCCCGAATCATTCTGTTTATTTATGAAAATGACCACTAGATAAAACCTTTGGAGTCAGCAATACGTTTATTTTCGTAAAATTTTCTAAACTTTCCTGGAGCTGATGTACGAATATTTCTAATTTCTGGGTACTTAGTTCTAGCTTGATTGGTACCCAGTTACTCACGTCGCTTCTACATTCTTTCTCGAAGAAAAACTAGTATTGGTTTGTTGTATCATGATGGGCTTCTTCTTAGCCTACGTCTTATTGTTCAAGGTACAAACTGCTGAGTAATTGTTGTGTACATTTTTAAACACCCTTCATGCAGTGTCGATAAGGATGTATGTTTTGATAGACAGATCTATTGGTGGTGATGCATGTATAATCTCTTGAATATCTGTTTTCTCTATGTTTAGTCTGGCTGGTTTAGACATGTCATTGATGTCAGTCATCTGGAAAGTATATAATAATATTGCGTGAGAACTTTTACAGTGTGTTGACATATACTCGAAAGTAAGGGCATCTGAATCATGATAAGTCAATATAAGGTCTGGCGACCATGATGTCTGATCTGTATTACGCCTTTTCCTTTCATTTTCCACGCTAAATTAAAACATGTTATGTCAGCACTGGTTTGGTTTTACTTGGATGACTTATTTAACAACACTGTCCCTTAGGTTTTTCCACTACATAGTAAGCGTATTAGTTACGTACTTACTTACGCCTGTTACTCCTCGTGAAGGAGCATAGGCAACTCACCAGCATTCTCCATCCAACTTTGTCCTGGGCAATCCTTCCCATTTCTTTCCAGTTCCTGTTCATCCTTTTAATATCAGCTTCTATTTCTGGACGTAATGTGTTCTTTGGCCTTCCTCATTTCCTCTTCCCTTCAGAATTCCATGTTAGAGCTTGCCTTGTGATGCAGTTTGACGATTTGCGTAATGTATGTCCTCTCCATTTCCATCGTCTTTTCCTAATTTTTTCAGCTGGAAGCTGATTTGTTCTCTCTCACAAAAGGCTGTTACTGATGGTATCCGGCCAATGGATGTTGAGTATCTTGCGAAGACAGCTATTTACAAATACTTGTACCTTCTTGATGGTGGTTGTTGTAGTTCTCCAAGTTTCAGCTCCATACAGTAGAACTGCCTTGACGTTGGTATTGAAGATTCTCACTTTGATATTGGTTGAAAGTTGTTTTGAGTTCCATATGTTCTTTACTTGTAGGAATGCGACCCTTGCTTTGCCAATTCTTGCCTTTACGTTTGCATCTGAACCTCCTTGTTCATCGATGATGCTTCCCAGATATGTGAAGGATTCTGCATCTTCCAGAGTTTCGCCATCAAGAGTGATTGGATTGGTGTTCTCGGCTTTGAATTTGAGGACCTTGGTTTTCCCTTTGTGTATGCTGAGGCCTACTGATGCAGAAACTGCTGCCACACTGGCTGTCTTTGTCTGTATCTGTTCCATAAGCTTAAAAATCATCTGGAAGATCAAATATTAAGTTTGTTCTTATAGTTTAGTCTGCGATAATCTAAACCGACCAAAAGCCCTTTTCTCTTATATTTCAATAGCATCACTTTTAAGTAACAGCAATATGCATATGCATCAAAGATATGTAAAGAAAAAGATCGCTCTGTGCGCCCGATGCAACCTGCACTCCAAAAACACGTAAATGTAATAATACGTCAATGTGATTCAAAGCGTAAGCTTTTTATTAACACTATCATATATTAGAAACTGACTGGAGGAGAAACTCAGAAATGCTTTACTAACAGACGTCGAAAGCCTTTTTAAAGATTTTTGGCGAGGTATTCTTTTTATATTCAATTTTTATGAACAGAGTTTTCTTTGGTACTACAGAGAATTTTTTAGGTTGGTCATATTTCATCAAGTCAGCAAAGCAAACAAGATGGCCACTTTTGTTGAGTGTCTGAAAGGATTCAGCTAGTTTGGCGTCTCTTATGTTATCACTCCATATTCGTCTGATGACCTAGGAAGAAGTTGAATCAAGTCACTCTTCTTACCCAAAGGGACATGACTTTGAAAGGTTGTATCCTAGTTATTCCAAGTAAAGTTTCTATACATTGATTATTCTATGGAGGCATATGGCTTTTTCTGTAAATCCCAATTAGCTGTTAATTCCAGTACCAAATTATTTTACTAGACACGCATCCAGATTTTGATTAAATTCGCAGCCGTCCACATATCTCTCATATAACTGGAAACTTCCCGTTGTTGCTCGGTAGATGGTTCCCTAGAAAAATAATTGTACTGAAATTAATTTTTCTACCTAAGTAGTGGTTTTATCAAACAACGAACGCACATAAACTAGCCGTCTCGTGAGTTTCTTCTGCAACATCAAATAATTAGTTTTAGTTATCGAAATATTCTGATTTACTGGAGTTTCGTGTTTGTTGAGTGTTTCCACTTTTTTTCACTACGTTTGTGGATTAAGATTGCCAGTTAATAATTTGGGATTTACAGGTGGAAGTATAGAATACTATTTGTACA